CCAACCATCAGGATGGAATCTGTGACTAATGGGGAAGAAAGAGCGTGGGAAGAAAGGGACGCTCAGAGGGAGGAGGAGCAGTTCCCTGGTTGTGATTGTGCCCAGCCAGTGGTGGTGTTGATCCTCAGTTCGGACTGTCTGGTGGGACAAGATGCAGAGCCCCAGGCTCTGATGGTACCCACAGAGGGAGAGTGGTTACCCCATGTGGACTGAATCCCTGCTTGACCTGTGAGCAGAGGCTTGCTAGGTGTGGACTGAGACCTGAGAACAAGGATGTGGTCCCCTGATTCCTAAAGAACCCTCGAGCACTAGCTTGCTGGGTGTGAACCAAGACGTGAGGGCTAGGATGTAGTCCTATTTCCAAAAGGGCTGGTGAGCAGAGGCTTACCGAGTGAGGACTGAGACCCGCGGGCGGGGTGCGGTGCCCTGACTCTAACAGAGCCTGAAAACAGAGGCTTGCCAGGCAGTGAACTGAGACTGGCAGGCGGGGGCATGGTCCCAACTCCAACTGGTCTGGCAAGCAGAGGCTGCTGGGTGTAGACTGAGACCAGTGGGCAGTGGTGAGGCCCCTGGCTCCAACTGGGCCTGTGAGCAGAGAAGTGGACAACAGTGTGGAGTGAGTCTGGTGGGCTGGAGTGTGGATCCCTGGCTCCATTTGTGCTGTTGGAGACCCTTGAATCCCTCTCTGTTGAGCAGGGTTTGCACTGCCTGAGACAATTTAATTAGAACCTGTAGCTGGGGCTGTCTACTTGAGGACATCCTGAGGTTGACCTTCCAAGTCCTATAGTGGAAAAGAACTGAAGGGTGGGGGCTGAGTGCCGCAGCTGTTTGTATCTCTTCACAGTTGAGATTTAAACCTAATACTGTGGTTTCTTAGGATAGGGTAGAGCAGGTGTCCTCAAACTGCAGCCCGCCTAGGACATTTATTCGGCCCACCAGGTGTTTTTGCCACTTTTGCCTGTCCTGCTTAGCAGCCGACTTGTCCTGGGGCCTGCAGTCCAGCCCTCCAACGGTCTGAGGGACAGTGAACTGGCCCCCTGTTTAAAAAGTTTGAGGATCCCTGGGGTAGAGGATGGCTGATATCAAAACAGAGCTAGCTTGTGCTATCTCACCAAGTAGGTCCTCAGAATCTCCGGCCAAAACTCTGAAAGGGGCCTCTGTAAGGTTGTAGGGGATAAGTCACAATTACAAACCCTAGAGCTTTGGTAAGAGGTTATCTCTACTATCTGGGGACACCAATTCAATCTCAGCCTACCAATTCTAATAACTAAATGGTGGAAAATAAACATGATGCGGACCCAACAGAAGAACTCTGGCAACATGAATAACCAGAGTAAATCAACCCCCCCCCCAAGGAAATGACAAAGGAGATACAACTGAAGATGCCATGCATAGACAAATGGCAGCAATGTCAGAAATTGAATTCAGTATATGGACTGCAAATAAGATAAACAGAATGGAAGAAAAGATAGAAATTGAATTCCAAAGAGTAGTTCTAACATTGCCTCAAGAAATTAATGAATTTCCCCCAAGGCTC